CCCCCCCCCCCCCCCCCCCCCTCCTCCTCTCTGTACAGGCTCTTAAAGCCACCGGGCTTCGCACCGGAGACCCCCGGCTGAAAGAGTGTATGGACATGCTGAAGATGACCGTGAAGACAACCTCCGACGGAGCGCTGGACCGACACCTCTTCAAAAAGTACCTTCATTTAAACCTGTCTGTTTCTGCAAAATATAAATACATTGCAGATGTTTAAAGGCTCACAAATCAAACCTTATTTAATTGTGACTTCAACATATTCCGTCTGTAGTCTGACTTTAAGTAACATCCTGCTCCACCTCAGAGTGAAGAGGCTCATTCATTATTCATCAGCTCGTCAGCGGCTTCTTGTTGAGCTTCTTTAACCGCTGGATTCATTCAAGAGCTCGACTCCTTTAATATCTGTCAAACTTCATCAGTTACGCTTTAATAAAACTCCAACATGAAAACAACACATTTAGAATGATGCTCACAGGAACTATGTTCATCTGAACATCTGCTAGTTATATTATTGTACGATGGATGTGATTCTTTATAGAGTTGTGGGTGTCGGTGATATTTACAGCTTCTTTAGGGCAACTTTACATTTCTACATTGAGACGAGCAGCTACATTATTCAAAGAACGTGTAGCTCCCTGAACTGGAAACAAAACACACACACACACACACACACACCCTGCTGTTTGCCCCTCCAGAGCAAACAGAGCTGTGTGACAGCTGGAGCATATGAGAGCTCACCAGGAGCTGAATCAGACCCCAGCACCGCCGCCGCTGCTGGCCGGCATCCATCACATGCGCTCCTCTTCGGGGCTTATTTATAGAGCCGGGAACACACATAGGGAAGCACGTGAGCGGGCGGGGGAGTGTAGCGTGTGTTGTCTCTGCAGGGATCCCGCGCTACAGGGATTAGACGGGTTTGATGCAGTGAGATAGCTGAGCCACAAATCTGCTCCCAGAGCGGCACGGCCTCTACCACACGGCCTGTTCTGTGTTTACTATCTGAGGTCCTTAGTGGCTGAAATAGAAAGGATCAGGGCTAAATGTGGAACATTTGGGAGGAGGATTGGTGGAGTGAGGTTCGTACTGCACAGATGTGTTTGTTTTATACTTTATTCTCATGTTGGAGGGAGACCAGGAACATGTTAAATAAAGGCCCTGAACCAGAAGAGCAACACTTCTAATTGCATGATATTTGAGTCTCACAAAGGCAGCTGGTGTGTGAAGAACTGGACCAGTTCAGCTCCAGTAGCACCATCTATGAAGCCACAGGGAAAGCAAACAAGCAACAGAACTCCCACAAACACAGAGATCTGTCACTGTCGTCCGGTCTCAGGTGTGTCCAGAGCAACATCGTTCTGCTCACCCAGGCCTTCAGGAAGAAGTTCGTCATCCCAGACTTCCAGTCCTTCTGCGGCCACATGGACGAGCTCTACGTCAACGCCAAGAAAATGTCTGGAGGGCAGGTGAGTGAGGGCTGCAGACGCACATCACCGCCACCAGTGGGAGCTATCTGTGTAACGCTGACTGTGACCCTGTGTGACGTAGGTGGCCGACTACATTCCCCAGCTGGCCCGCTTCAGCCCAGACCTGTGGGCCGTCTCGCTGTGCACCGTCGATGGACAGAGGTACACCTGCAGTACTTTATGTCATGTACAGAACACGGTTCATACAGTGTCAGAAAATACGCAGGAAACATCGTAGAAATATCCTGAAACTCTTAGAACCAAACCTGGTAAAATAAAAAGGTAATTGCAAACCAGACGTGTAAATCTTCATGCGTGTCTCCTTCTCAGGCACACCGTCGGCGACACCAAGGTTCCCTTCTGTCTGCAGTCCTGTGTGAAGCCGCTGAAATACGCCATCGCCGTCCACGACCACGGCACCGAGTACGTGCACCGCTTCATCGGCAAAGAGCCCAGCGGCCTGCGATTCAACAAGCTCTTCCTGAACGAGGAAGGTGAGGAAGCGGTCTGTAACCGGGTCACGCTCGGTGCTCACGTACTCACCGTAAGAGGATCCGTCTCCAGGCCTGGTGGACGTGCAACTGTAGTCAAATGTTGATGAGCGGTTGCAGAATGAAACAGAGGGCTCAGTGTGTAACAGAGACTTAACAACCTGGAGAAAGAGCCGCTGCTGGCTCGTGTCTGTAAGAAGCAGCCAGAGCTGAGCAGCAGGAAGACACAACGACACTCTGTCTGCAAACGTCTCGTCGTGTCTGAGACAGTTTAACCAAAGACATCCAGTTTAGAGCATGCAGTCATTTCAAAAGGCTAAATCTCTAAGTGCTCTCGGTCTCCAGGTGTCCTCTCTTTGTTGTTGTCTAACAGCAGATTATATTCTGTTATTCTTATTGTTGCATAAGAAGATCTAAACTCAGAGCGGAGGATCGCTGCCCTCTGCGTGAAGTTAACGACCTCATCATGTTGATCTTCACTCTTCTTTATAAATGTGTTATTTCTCATATTTCACATCTCAGTCAAAGGTAAAAGCATCTTAAACATTGGTGCTCAGACTTGTCTCTGCTGGTGTGAAGCTTTATTTTGTCTCCTGCAGATAAACCTCACAACCCGATGGTCAACGCTGGAGCTATTGTCTGCACCTCCCTCATCAAGGTGAGCTGCACCTCCTCATCAGTATCATTACGTACATTCAGCTACAGAATACTGTCTGGGGTTTCAGAGACTTCTCATTTAGTGTCTTTTAAAAAGTGCTGTGTGAGGGTTTTATTTCTGAGTTTCTAACTTGTATGAAATAGATTTATGATGGTGTTTCCTCTGGATTAGAGTTCACGGGGAGATTACGGTTATAATCACGCTGAAAGGGGATTTGGTTGAAAGCGGTCAGATATTCTGTTTCGATGGAGGCAACAGCACCTCCTGCTGATTGAACTGAAGACATGAAAGCTTTTAATGCTGTGATTCTGTTTGTGCTCCAGCAAGGAGCGAGCAACGCTGAGAAGTTTGATTATGTGAGTATTCATGTGTTTTTGTGAAAGAACTGAAACTGTTCCTTAAAAACAACAACAACATGAAACGATGATCAAAGCTGAATAATCTCTCTGCTGCTCTGCAGGTCATGAACTTCATGAACAAACTGGCAGGAAACGAGTACGTGGGCTTCAGCAACGCCACGTGAGTGAATCTCTCTGTAGTGATGATCACACACACCGATCGGTTAATGAACACAGAGGTTCTGTCCTAACCGTCCTCTCTCTGCGTCCCAGCTTCCAGTCGGAGCGAGAGTCTGGAGACAGAAACTTTGCCATCGGCTACTACCTGAAGGAGAAGAAGGTGAGCTTCAGATGAAGGTGGTTCTCTCTATCAGAGCGAGCAGCTGTGTGTCAGTCGAGGTGTTGGCGGAGTTTAAATGCTGACCATGTTGTTCCTTCAGTGTTTTCCAGAGGGGACGGACATGACCTCCATCCTCGACTTCTACTTCCAGGTACACGGAGCTAAACACCAGGAAGCTTTGACTAGTTTAACTGTAAATAATCTCTGTTTAAACGTGCAACAAGAAGCTGTGATTCACTATGATCCTCCCGTCAGCTCTGCTCCATCGAGGTGACCTGTGAGAGCGCCAGCGTCATGGCGGCGACTCTGGCCAACGGCGGCTTCTGTCCAATCACAGGAGAGCGCGTGCTGAGCCCCGAGTCGGTGCGAGACACTCTGAGTCTGATGCACTCCTGCGGCATGTACGACTTCTCCGGACAGTTCGCTTTCCACGTCAGTATCGCTCTCATCAAACGTTCCCTCGGCTCCCTTTTGAATAACAAGCCATCGACTCACCACATGCTCCTCCTCCTCCTTCTTCTTCTTCTTGTGTTTCAGGTCGGTCTGCCGGCTAAATCTGGTGTCGCCGGCGGGATCCTGCTGGTTGTTCCGAACGTGATGGGCATCATGTGTTGGTCTCCTCCACTCGACAAGCTGGGCAACAGCGTGAGAGGCATCCAGTTCTGCACGGTAAGCTCCACCTCAACCTTCTTCTTCATGTGCTTTTCTCTTCAGCATTTTGTCACTTGAAAGGTGATCCAAGTCAAACCATCTCTCCGAGCTGAGACTTAATGTTTGGTGACGATGTTAAAACCACTTCCTCCATGTGTGTCTGGTTTCAGGACCTGGTTTCTCTCTGTAACTTCCACAACTATGACAACCTGAGACACTTTGCCAAGAAGCTGGATCCTCGTAGGGAGGGAGGAGACCAGAGGGTGAGTCCCAGGAACGAGCTCCTTCATCAGCCTCTCCCCATCCTCATCCTCCTTTATAATAAAACATCTTTCAGTCAGTGAGCTGCGCGAGTCCACAGCGCCATCCGGTGGACAGTTACTATAAAGTCATCGATGAAAGATTTTAAATATCTGCAGGAAACAAAGAAAGAATGTCTTCTGATTCTTCTTCTTCCTGTTTCCCTCTCGTTCTGTTTCAGGTGAAGTCGGTGATCAATCTTCTGTTTGCTGCTTACACCGGAGACGTCTCCGCCCTGAGGAGGTAAAGCCGCTCTCTTGTGTGCTGAATGTTCACGTTTAACATCGTGTCACAGACGGTTTCTTGAGTTTAACGTTGTGTGTCCAGGTTTGCGTTGTCCTCCATGGACATGGAGCAGAGGGACTACGACTCCAGGACGGCCCTGCATGTGGCAGCCGCTGAAGGTAAAACCCCGAGATCATTGACAACGTGTGGATCCTTCTGATCAGTGTGTGTGCAGCTGACTCACGTGTGTGTGTGTGTGTGTGTGTGTGTGTTTCAGGACACGGTGAGGTGGTTCGCTTCCTGCTGGAGGCCTGTAAAGTCAACCCCGTTCCCAAAGACAGGTATTACATTTCAATTCTTTTCTGACATTTATAGACTGAAATGTTTTATTCAACAATCAAAACGCTACTTGACAAATGTATTAATCGCAAATAATCTTTAGTGGCAGAATTCCGTGAGATTTTTCCTCTTCACTCTCTGCTGCTTCTTCTTTGCTGTTGAACCAGCTGAGAGTTTCCCTCATTCATGAGCTCAGTCGCTTCACGTCACAACATTTGTATGACCTCCTGCGTCTCTCTCCTCCGCCTCTGTGTTGGCTGCAGGTGGGGCAACACGCCGATCGAGGAAGCGGTCCACTTCGGCCACCACGACGTGGTGACCATCCTCCGAGACTACCACACCCAGTACAGCCCTCAGGAACCCACCGACGACAAGAAGAGCGCCGAGAAGAACCTGGACGGTCTGCTCTGATGGAAAGAAACCGGACGGTTGTGAGTTGGGAGAAAACGTGGATCATGTGGATCAGAGAGGAAACAACCTCTCATTAAAACAACCCAGAACAATAAAGTATACATTACAACATCCTTCAGAAACAACTTCACATTCCCCTCACACACACAGGGCAGCCCCCGCCCCTCCAGAGTAAAAGCTCCTCGTCATGCTACTAGATGTGATATTAATGTTAGTGGGGAAACTGGTGTTGTTTACTTTCTCCCTTCTGTATTTCGCCCTCACCTTTGTAACTTTGTAGGAAGTAACCGCCCCGTTGAATGCTGGGTAAATTCGGCGGCGGCTGGCAAGTCGACGGACTCCGTTATTTACTTTTTCAAATTGACATTTTTATTCTGAAAGGCTGAAAACAGGAAGCAGCATGCATCTCGTACCCTGGTTAGAAACCTTCGTCACTTCCTCATCACAACATGGTGGAATGTATCTTCCCCCAAACATGTGTGATACATGTTTAAGATAAAGTGTGTGTGTGTGTGTGTGTGTGTGTGTGTGTGTGTGTGTGTGTGTGTCTGAGACGAGGATACATGAGTGTAAATACGTGTAATAAGTGTAAAGCTGTGGTGGAACGTGAGGTTGAGCTTTGATCACGAGGAGCGTGACGTAGATTTCACTGAAACTCTGGAAATATATATTTAAACTGTTAAATATGCAGCTTGTAAAGGTCAACACGAGATGAGAGATGTTTTTGTTTTGCTATCTAAAAGCTGTTCTAGTTTATTTGTCACCGTTATTGAATTGTTTGATATTTATTTTTTGTAACAAGCAAGTCGGCCAAAGTTTCTAGATATCACATACAGTATATGACACTGCCAGCGCTGACGGAAGCTTGAATTACTTCCACTCAACAACAGAAACAATATTTAGTTTCCTAATTATGTGAGAAATGGTCTTTAAACGCAGCTTTTTAACGGACGATTGCCACCAAATAAGAGCTGAAATATTGGTCTTTGTTGAGGCGCCGGTTCCTTTATTTCATGCATAAACACTAAAGTTATTATTCCTTTAGTGCAGATGTGTTGACTGTAATGTTTCACATGAACGATGATGGTTTTATTGTTACACTTTCAGGTCTGAAACACAAAGAACTCTACTGAAGGAGCTTTGTAATGCAGACAGATTGTTTTTTATGTGCAGAAGAATCTGTCATACTTGAACGGTTGTGCAGATGTTTCATTTTTTCCAGAGGTTTTGTGTGTTTGTAGCGTGTTGGAGGTTTGTATGTTGTTTCTGTAAAGATGAACTGAACCAGGCAATCAACATGTCTGCAATATTAACAATCCACACTCCAAAATGTAGTGCATTATAAATCCTTAGGTTGGGATCGGATCATTCAGTTTTCAAATCTTTAAGTTTTTAAAAAAAAATGGATTAAAAGAAGCACAAAACTACCTAAAAATTGCGATCTTTTGAGAAACAATTAGCAATACGGATGTAATGATTGTTCAATTAAATTAGCAATATGGACGTGAGCTGATCCCGACCTGCATTCTGAAGTATTCTGAATGTAACGTGTTTGTTTGTGTCGTTCTGTTTCTTCTTCATGTGTATTTATGCTGCCGACTGTCGCAGGCAGTCAAGATATTAATTCACAGATCAAACATTAAATAAAAGTTATAAAACTCAAAAGGATCGTGTCTTTTTACTACAGGTGAATATTAATATATATAAAAAGCACCAGCATAGATGAAATGTCTTTAAACAAGTCAAGTGAACGGATATTTACATTATGTAGTGTTTTTATAGATTATAGTGATCATATGTAGATGTTAAAAATAGAATATATAAAGGAGGTAAGTGGATGTCTCAGTGTATGACTGTCAGCCTTTAGTTATCTTAAAGATATATATCTAAAGATTAAGAGTTAGATTGTGATGTCTGTGTTTTATTTTGTATTTTTATTGTATTTATTTGTTTTCATACTAACAGTAAGGAGATAATAATCCCAGAAGAAGGATTAATATCAAGATTGATGAATGAAAAACATAATATTATATTCTGTTAATCTGTTATGAAAGGCGTCACAATCTCCTAAATAATTACGTAAGAGCAACGGGAATAACCGTCCACTAGGTGGCGGTAACATGCCTACAAGCTGGTTTTCCAGCTGCTAATTAACACCAGAGAAGAAGAAGACCCTCCTCCTGGGCGGGGCTTGGTCCATCTTTAATCTTTAATGTTCCTGTATAAATTAAATTTGCCAGGTTGAACTGGTGCCTTCAGGGTCCTCTCCTACATTCCCCTTCCCAAGTTGAGAAGTCACAAATAGGACTGAATTCTGGTGCCTTTCAGAGTAAAATAACCATAAAACAGTCACGTGTTGCTGTGTGTTTGCTTCGTGCTATAAATAAATATTGGACTGCTATTTGGATTCATAAAATGACATGACAATGACACTGTTAATTGATATAACGAAAAAACAAATAGTGTGCCTCAGGTGATCATCATTACTACAGTTTATATTTTGTATTTAAGATAACATTTTGAGTCTCAGAAGTCTCTATTTTCAGCAAATGAAATATAGGTCAAACTAAAAAGACTCAATGTTAGTTTGATTTGATCAATTGTACAGAGTCTCAAATGTGAAAATAGTTACGATATAAAAGGAACAC